TTTCGACCGCCTGGATCATCACATCTTATTTCACAGGCAACTGGGCCACGGAATCGGGGATCCTGTTCTTGGTTGGATTGCCAACTTTCTTCGCCAACGGAGGCCTGAATTGCGTGTGAGGGGATCACTCACTAACCAGACTGAGTTGGAATGTAGTGTCCTACAAGGTTCGGTGCTGGGACCGCGCCTGTTACTTGCGTTTGCTAACGACTTTATAAAGTTGTCCCTTCCAGTTTCTTGCCTTCTGCTGATAATGTCAAGATATGCCGGGCTAGTAATAAAGAGGAAGATCACGATCTACTCCAACCTTATTTAGATTGCATTTATGAAGGGTCAAATAGGATCCTGCTCTAGTTGAACCGAGCTAAGTGCAAGGTGATTTATCTGCGTCACCAGACAGTGAGCTTTTACAAGCTTAGAGATTACACCTTGCATAAGGTCTCTCGGGAGCGGTACCAAGGTTTACTGGTACAGGAAGATCTCAGGTCCTCAAATGAAGCAGAGCAAGCGTCGAGAACGGGCAATCAACACTTCGGCCTTTTCGCACAGCGTTCCGCCAGTTTGAACTCACAGTCTTCCTCCAAATACTTAACGCCTACGTCGGCCGCACGTGGAATATGCTATCCAGTTGTGGCAACCCTGAGAAAAACAGGACCTCCTTGCTCTCGAGACTCCTCAAAGTAGAACAACCAAGAACGTCAGGGGCCTCTTTCATCTGTTCTGTCAGCTTAGACTGATAGTCGATATCGGCGTTGGCGGGGGATCTCAGAATGGTTTACTAGATTCTGAAGAACCCAAACTACATTTGCCGTCCGATGCTGGAACTGTACCACGACGCTGACCCAAGAGGTCATGCTTTGAAACTGACAATACAGTATAGCCGGCTTGAATGCCGTAGAAATTTCCTTTCCTTCCGCGTTTGTCAGTCTTGGTACGATCTCCCAAATTATGTCATCTGTGCCCCCAATTTAGCGATATGTAAAATCGATCTGACAAAGCGTTGTCTTATTTGTATTTCATTTGATAACGTGTTAACCACGGGGCTACACAAAGCAATCAAACAGTGTGTTTCAAAACTCCCAAACAATGGGTTAATGGATTTTCACTTTTAATACGGGGAAATCTCCGTTCTTCTACATAGGTCAACAGTGAGTTCGCCAAATCGCCTTTCATTTTCTTATGAATTTTCGTTTTCGCAATAATCTCCATCCCACGAAACTTGTTAACCATTAGTTTCTTACCCGTAATACACCGTTTTTCCACTGTTCAATTATCTCATTTTAAACCCAAGGTGCTGGCCCTTTGGTGACAGGTGGCCCACTCGGGCGTTAAAATCTCCGGCAAAAATGACAAAACCAGACTTGTTGAAGGAACGCGGCAAATCATGTGACTGCTGATAAAAATGTGTTTGACTGCATCCGGGCTGCCGTCTGTAGGATCGTAGAGGCGGAGGCGACAAATAAGGCATGCTTAACCTCTCCACGCTTACTTAACCTTCATGGTTCTGGTAGTCTGAGCCCACACAGTCGACTGTTGACTCTGATCCAGTCAGGCAGAGGGGTCTCAGTCCTGTCACTCAGTGCAACCTCACCACCAGCCTGGCCAGAAGCGGCAGCCAATGGGCTCTTGGAAAGGCACAGATGGTATTTAACGCAAGGGTTTACCGGAGAGGTCATTCCGATGTAGACACTGAAGTTTTGCCATCTCCTTTCCGAAAAGTAGCATATGTCTATCGAGAGCGCCTCAAGTGTGCGGGCCAGAAAAGCTTACCGTGCGATCTGTATCAGAGTGCGAATATTAAATACTGTGAGGCTGAATAGAGAACCAGGTCGAAGAAAAGCGCGAGCCTCGGTGGATTGTGAGGAAGCTGGCATCATAAGACGTCGAGCACCAGAAGTTTCACTCTTACTTCCACCAGGTGGAATCAGTGACCTGCTGTTGGCGGTGATGGAGAAGGGCATAAGTGTGGTTGAAGAACGGTGCGTGGGACGATCTGTGAATGAACGTTGAGCAATGGAAAGAGAAGAGCCAGTAGACGTAGCAAGAGCGAAAGCAGTAGCAATGGAATCCATCCATGATTCGTCAGTGGGCGTGGTACTACACGGTTGCCCAGGCTGAAGTAGAGGGTTGTCATAGGAAGCCATACCCAGAGCCTTAGATAAGGAATCTAACCTATAAGGCAACAGAGCAATATGAGGGTATCGTAACTTGTTGGGAGCCGATGACCAAACAAGTGTTTCCTAGGCCTTAAAACCTCCAAAGGACTTGGGGCCCAACACACCCTTTAATTATAATGCCAATAAGAAAGGTAAGGAACAGTGACTTTATTTAGTAGGGAGTCACAAGCGCTACGTCAGTGTTGTTATATGGACCTATGGGGCTTTTTACATGGAGAAAGTTCGCCTGTCGGAAACCCACCAATTTCTGTAACACTGCTGCCGAACAATTTGCTGGGGCGGGATAATTCCAAACCACCCAGCTGGCACCACGAGAAAGTCGTTCAGCAGGTCATAATTTTGCAGTGTAAGAATTCCACCAGATGCTGTATGGCCGCTGCTTCAGACTATTGACGGATCAGAAAGCATTGTTGGCTATCTTTGGCTGGAAGAAGGGCATTCCTGCCTATCCAGCCAACCGCTGGGCACTCACTCTACTGAGCTATGATATTGAGATTCCGTACCAAACAGCGGTTTCCATGGGTCAAATGGACGCACGATCAGGCCTCACTTACACTCAACAGTAAGGTGAAGCACACTATTATAGCCTCAGTCGAACTTGAACCTAACGCCGAATTTCTTGTCAGGACACATTACGTAACCTATCAGTAACTTAAGAAGCTGTACAAACGGTAACGCGTTCTGACTCGAGCAAAAGGAATGCTAACCGGTTCCACAGAATCAATTGGCCAAATTCATGTTTATCATCCGAATTCCAGCAGCACTCTCTGAGGAGAGGTTCGCTTTCCACCGTGGATGACTGCATACTACAAGAGCGCGTCCTTCGGTAGTTCAATGCCGAGCATCCTGATAGCAACCGCATGAAGCAGCTTGCCCAAGGCTATGTGTATTTGCTGTATATAGACAACGGTTGGAACGACTGGAAAAAGTTACAACAGTTGTGCTACCGATTCAGTGGTACCGTACATAGCCGAAACCAGCAAAACCATGGGGTCACGTTCAACTTGACTTCATTTCTCTCATCAACGGTCAAGGCTTTGTCAATGTTGGCGACCCCAACTATAAATAGCCCAGAGCGTTCTTTGTGAAATGTAAAACAACCACCGCAACCGGTGCAAGATTGCAAGAAATATTCAGCAGTTTTGGCTGCTAAGAAATACCAGTGGCAGTTAACAGAATACGGTTTACTTTAGTAGCATTCGCTGAGTTCTGCAAATGCCATGCAACCAGACGCGTTCGATCGCCACCATTCCATCCGCACTCGAAATACCAAGCCGAAAAGTCTGTGGAGACATTCAACCGCGACATACTTAGATCAAGGAAGGAGGGGCGTATCGATGGGATGATCGGCAGGTTCCTCTTCCTATACCGATCAAAACCGAATCCACACACGCCGACTGAAGTTACGCCAGCATGGACTATGATGAACAGAAGGCTGCGTATGACCTTCGGTGCTATTCGACGGCATTCAGATCCTTTAATTAGAGAAAGGAACCACATAATGGAAGAGAACTTTAATCCGTGGCATTCAGGAACGCAGCGATCTTTCAGCTGGAGCAGCCAAATCTAATATATGACTAACGGGAAGTCCAGGTGCAATGGACTTTCGGCACGATCGAAAGCAAGTGTGGGAATGTCATTTATGACGTGATAGTTGGGACGCAAATCTGGGCTCGCCATACAAGATCAGTTACGGTTAGCAGTTTGACAGCCAAAAGAAGTACAACATGCCAATCTTTCGTTCGGCCTGTTGGTTGACAGCTTCAACATGTCAAAGGAGCTCATGGACGACCACTGCCAGTCGAGCAATGAATCAGTTCCATAGACTCAGAACCCGCATCTCGGGCACTTAAGCCGAGGCCAGGGACTGACAGACACAAGACACCGTCCAGGGAGCTAATAGTCAATCCAAAGCTCTCACCATACACCGCGATCGCCGTCTCAGGAAAGGATGTGTCCGTATGCAAATAAGAATTCCCCGGAAATAACATAGCTTTCGCAGTTAATCGATTTATACTAATTGTCGCATCGATTTCGAACGTTCTGACATGTTCTAAGGCTGCAGCTGACTGCAGTACCGAAAATGCTCGAACCGGTATGGCACTGCTAATTTTACCAGCAGCTGTTCCTATTCTAGACGTCGATGGCCATTGAGTACACTACACATATGACCCAAGTCCACCACAGTTGTACGACGGTTTGTGGCGGATAACACATAAATTTGTCAAGGTCATTTGACTTCTGATTTTCCTTCCGTTAGACTGAACTTACTCTAAATCATTTGAGTGCTTTCCTCGGAGTCGCAACTATTAAGAAGATCTAACGGTTCACTACGTTGACTATGTCAGTCTATCCGGGTAGAAATCCGGTAACAATCATTGTTCATTGTATATGTCCTATTTCCTTCTCTCACCAATGTTAATGAGTATTTTCTAGATGACACGAGTCAGTGCAACTAGATCTACCGCTTTTCGATGATCAGACCATAGCTGGTTGACTGAGCTTAACTGTCCAGCCGATTATGCGCTGAATCTATAGTGAAACTGCTCTAGCTGCGTTCAATCACTATACGATTAACAACCACATTTTAAGCGGAGACCAAAATCAGATACGATTAATGTGGATGCTTATTCGCTACTGAATTGAACACCACTTGGAAGTTAATGATCTAACGTCACATGAATAAAGGAAGCGGAACGACATGCTTAACTAAGAATAGCAACTTCCTACGCTTTAGGAAGCACTCAACTGCTCAACTAGATGCTCTTACCTCGGCCTGCACCCCTGAGTGAGGGGAAATGACTAGTTGAAACCGAGACAATACCTGGTCCGAAAGCTTTATTGGATATCACAGCTGTTCGATTGTGAAGATATTGGCGTAACGGTTGATATCCACAGTTGTTAGTACAACGTAGTATTAGACAAAACAAAAATTTTAAGTTTATTGATAGACAGTGAAAACACGTCCACAAAGGCGAGGGATGGTGGAAAGCGAAGAGCTTCATCCCGAATCCGGTCTCCGTATGTAAGAGACGATTTTCGTATACAAACTATACTTCTTCCGTGCAAGTAGGTCGCAGCGTATTGACTTGTTGCGTTTTACGTGCTTCCGATAAAACGGAATTGTTTTACCTCCCCAGTTTTCTCCATGGTTAAGTGGAGGTCGCTATTTCGCATGCGAATGATCAACACATGTTTGCGATACCAAACTCATTAATGATTGTCTGAAATCAATTTTCCTGGCGCATGACTACAAAAGTGAAGGTAACGATGTCTGAGATACCGATTCGAGAGGACCTAGAGTAGATCCTGCCAGAAAGCTGCCTAAGTTATCATTGATTTTACTTCTTTTTCTGCGAGATTTTCTGTGCTTGACTTCAACTGGAGACTGTTCATTCAGTGGAAGGTTATGCTCGAGTGAGTTACCCTTCAAGTCAGAGGATCTCTCGATTAACAGGGTTTCTGTAGACAGGGCAGGAAGTGGTTTCTCTTCAATATATTTCGGATTGGAGCGCCCGCGGATATGTAGTGTTCCTTTTTTGGTCGTCCTGGGCTGCTCGGATGAACGCTTAAGCTTCTTTGGCTCTAGAGAACGACGATGTCTAGGAGGAATAATTGCGGCTGGTTCGGTAAACCTGGGCTCACCAAGTGAAGAGTCAGCAACCAAAAGGGAGGCAAATGAGGAGACACTGGTCACACCATCGTTATTAGGGTCTTCACTGCTTATTCGTCCAGCAGCCTGAGAAGTTTCCACACTCCCCTCCATCCTGCTAACATGCTCCACACTGCTGGTCTTTGACGCCCGATGAAATGCAGCTTCAAATATATCTCTTGTCCGGCCAAGTAACTTTGTTTTCAAGGAAGTTGGTGACATTGTGGGACTGTCAGCGTTATCACCAGCTGGTGTTGATAAAGAGCTTGAATACAGATCATTCTCACGCTTTCCGGTCTTCTTTTTGGGATGTCGTGTAATTTCCTCTAGAGCGACATCTGCCCCCTGCGTCCTGGGCCCCCCCAAAGAACTTTTTGGTCTACGCCTTCTGATAGCTGGACTTGCTGTATGCCTTTCTACACTAGTCGCGCGACGCTGAACTTTTGCTTTAGCAGTTCCAGCTGACGACGTGGGGCAGTTATTTTCTCTCTGTCTACTTTTACTTCGGTTACGTGAGCCACGTCCGTTGGTTGCACTCTTTGATCTGGAATTAGAAATACGCGAAGGAACTCTTGAGGTACCTTGAGTCTCGTTACTGTCACCCACAGAGCTAACCGTCTCAGAATTTTCAACATTGTGTTTATTATAAATACCAGAAGGTTCCTTTGCCCGCGTTTTTACTGTGGCTATCTTGGTTTTGAGGTCTTTTAGGAGCTCATCCATTTCTTCCTGTTTCAGTTTTTGCTTGCTATTAGATTTGCTTTCTGTTAAACGTGGCGTGATTTCACTTGCCAGGCTCGTTGCTTTATTGTTATTCACTTCCTCTGTGGCATTCTCTAAACATGAAGGAGTCATCAAATCCCTTATTCTTCTACCGTTTCGGTTTGTCATTCCGTTTGTCTCACGGTTAAATTCGGTACTGTCCCGCCTCCTACCTCCCGCCGCGTTCCCTTCATCCATTTCTTCTTCTGCATTATGTTGTGCAGTTTCTTTCGGAGTATTAGGTTTCTTTGCTCCTACTAAGTTGCCTCCTTCCGCGAGTTCGTAAAAATGTCGACTGTCAACAAAACTAGGGTCTACTTTAACCAAACTACCAACAAGCCTGTCGTTTTCCTCTTCAAGCATATCCATGTTTTGCTTGGTCGTGTGCACCTCGCGTAGGATTTTATCTTTGGTTTTTTGTTGTTCGTCTAAGCGCTCATGAAATCTTTGTTCCAAGGTTTTTTGCAATTCCACTTTGGACTGTAAGAACCTCACTGATTCAGCTAACACACCCAGTACAGTTTGTGCTCGTGTGTAAATTTCCTTTAGGCGATCACCGATGTCTCCGGCTCTGCGTACTAGGTCGAACTCGGGTCGTTCGGACCAAAAAAATATCCGATCAATGAGGCCGATGTTTTCTGTCACTAATGGCATGCAATAATTGCACACTTGTCCAAGAACAAGACTGAAGTGAAGTTGGAGGTAAAACAAATCCCGGTAGTAGTCAAGAAGTGGTTTAACTTTGGACCTCACTTCCTGGTGTATCTCAGCGATAGCCAAGGCTATGTTGTCGATCATATGAGTTGGCGGACGCGGTTCAGATAGTCGAGAGTTGCCCAGACCGCCGCCTTGACGTTGAGCAAGCATGTTTTTTCTCATTTGTGGAGATCGGCAAAGAGCCAAGTGTCTCACACTGGCTCCCGACTCCAGTGAAGCGTAACCCAAGCTAGCCAAATGGTCAGCCAACAGTTCATTGTGACGCAGTCTTGCATTTAGCCTTGTTTCAGCATCCTGTAATTCCATTTTAAGTTCGGATATTTCATCCTCCCCAATTTGAAGCTGTTCTTGTACAAATTCCTTGGTGATTAGTCGATTTTGCTCATTCACTAGTTTCCTGTATTCTTCCAAGTGCTTGTAACAAACAAGAAATACATCTTTGGTTTGCAAAATGAGACGTAATTCTCCTTGTATGTTGTTGGGATAAGTGGGCAGCTGATCACTAATGGAACCCAAGTTCATGTTTGGGCTGGATTGCAGGTGTTCAGTGGTTATAGGCTGCGATCATGCGGAAAGAAAGCGATGAGTTGCGACAGTATCCAGCCGAGTGATCCTACCAGTATTCCAAGCCCTATCAGTTCTATAAATTGATATAAAAATGACCTAACGTACAATAATAAAATTACCGCGGCAGGCCCGAATGTAGGTATGGGAATTTGAAACTCTGGTGGTTTCAGCGATCAATAGCGAGATCAATGGCGCACAGTTGAAACCTCTAATGTGTTGCAGTAGCTAGTCCTAGTCCTTTGACAACTACGGTGGGCATTCTCTGTGGATAAGTAAATCTACGTTGCCTAAAATAGTACCAGACGGATTTATCTGCTTGGCACTTAACGAGACCTTGGGAGCATCTCGAAATTTACAGTGCACCCATATACATATACCTATATACACTGCCCATGCCGCTTGATGTGATTCATGGAAATCGCCCACTGCTTTGCGCTGAGTGAAGCAATGGTTTGGCAAAAAACGTTGCTCTCAAACTTACATTCGAGTGTTTCACACACTACCGACACCGAAGTGAAATGATCTGAAATGTAATTACGCCTACAAACGCTTTGTTAGTTGCTTGAATTTGGCACTACAGAATCGCCAGTGAGTCTGCTGTTTCATGTGTGCTTAGATCCTTAGTTTTTTATTTGTGATGGCAGGTCAATTTATCTCACGTTTGTTCTAGTTTTCATTTCTAGGTTAGTGGATTTCTGCACTTATTTTAACGCGTTGCATTTGTTTATTGGCGTTATAGCATCCTTCTGCATGGTTGGATTCTTGTCTCATGTACAAACCGGTTCCCAAATCTCATCCCCAAAATCACCATATTGCTTGAGAAGCTGTCATTAATGAAAACGTAGAATTTTGATATAGTTTATTAGTAAAATTGTGGAAGCGTATTCCATAGAGCTCTAGATTGTAGCGGCTACAATAGGTTCATGGTTTGTCTAGATCTCAAGTGGATACAAGTCGAAAAGCGTGGCTTGTAATGTTCCCCCTCATCCCAACCCCAAGCCACGTATATTCTTATCCATTTCAAAAACTATTAAAACGGCGAACGCTGTTTCAGACTCAGCTGTTATGGTGTGATTACATCACAAATGAGAAACATCTTATATACGGTCAACGGAAGCGTCAAACGGCGGGTGCTGACATAGAAGTAGGGAGCTTGTAAGGTGGTGGTAATTTTATTCGTCGCTTGTTCAAAAACGTGATAAAATAAAGACAGCTTTGGTGATGCAAGGTTGGACTACACCTTGTGTGATTGGATTGCGAAGCGCAATCTCAGTGTAATGGACCGTGATTCACATTGAAGTTCGCCTTAGTCACTGCGATCACTAGGACCGTACTCAAAGTAGATGGAAATTGGGTGTAGCCCGTCCGAAAACACTGCAAAACTACGACGCGTTTCGATGTAATTTCATATCATCAGGTGAAGACAGCAGGCCTCGAACCTGCGACCATTGGAATGGTAGCCGAAACCATTACCTGCTTTGAGTACGGTCCGAGTGATCGCAGTGACTAAATAAAACCATAAATAAATAAATAAGTTGTATATTCCTCGACGATGTGAGAAGCTGTTCCCTAGAAGGAACAGATCAAATAATGGTACAACTTTTCCATGACATTCCATCAATACATTTTCAGAGCTAAACATGGGCGCAATCGCAAATTAGGTAACAGAATAATCAGAATCGTTCTGCTATATTTTGCCTGCCATTGAATCAGGATTTTCACGATCACATGACAGATATTTGGGTCGAGAAAAAATGTAATGAAAGGGGTTGTTGTCCGAAATGTTATGTGTATGTGTTTCGGAAATTTATTCAGGCACCATGGATACCGTTTTCGAATGCGTTATCTAGGGACTGTGATGTCCCGAACATCTTAATCACGTTTTGAATGGTTAAATGCCTACCAATCGCACGCTTAAAATTACAAAGTGTATAGCAGCTTCTGATATCACTTGGAAGTTTGTTCCAAATCTTTAAGTATTGGGTTAGAAAGAAACGTTCTCTGATTCTCGTAGTAAATTTTGGAATCATGACATTTACCTCTTTGTTACGTATTGGGTATCTGCTGTTTACAGATATGGGAGCACCGTTTTCAAGACTGCGAATTCGACAATTTATGATTCTGTAAAGAAAACATAGGTTCAGCTTCATTATCCGAAGCCAAACTGGGTCAAATCCAAGGTTATCACACCGTTCCCTGTATGTCAATTTTGAGGAATATCCACATAGCTTTTTCATGAAGCGTTGCTGGACCCTCTCAAGAGCTTGCTGATCAGAATACCGTAGATTAGACTGTACCATTGAACAGTATTAAATACACGGCAATACAAATGTTTTGTAAAGTGATATGCGAGATCCCGTGAGGTAAAAATGATGGAAGATATAACCGATGGTCTTCATGGCTTACGAAACTTGGAAGTCACAGTGTTCAGAAAAGTTAAACGTAACTGAATATCGCACGCCCAAGTCGCGAATTGTCCTGCATTGCGAGCCATATGCACCTTGTAGTAATAAACCGTCTGGCGGTACTTGGCATTTGTACGAAAAAATATTACTTTTGTCTACGGCAAATGACATCTGCCACAGTTGGCACCAGGAGTCAAGGACGGATAGATCATCCTGAATGCCATCGCAATGACGCTGGACCTTACCGTGGTGCGATGAATTGTGTGTCTCAGTGATCCATTGAGCTATGCTGGGTGGTGCATTCTTGCACCTTCAGAGTCACTCATACCAGATTGGTCAATGGTTAGAGGCCAGACAAACTCAGCCTCCTGGTCCTCCAGGTTGGGGGTTGGAATGAGGGTGGCAACTTATTCCTTAAAACGGACTCTTTGTAGCCCACCGACAAACCCGCTGCCTTGCGGTAAGGTTTTTGAACCAAAGGCTTTGATCGAAAACCCTAATAGTTCTCCTGTCTAGGCCTGGGCAACCTGGCAGTATCCTGCTCACGCAATACTATGAATCTTACCTCAAACAATTTCTTGATGCTCTGGCCACCGCAGAGGATAATCAACGGTGCCCTATCTGCTGCATCGAGCAGGGTGGATAGGGGTTTGGATGCTACTGCTCAAGCCTTCCCGTCTTCTTATTCCCCATCTTACGCTTTTTCACTCTTACCGTCCCGTTCCAACTTCACTTATATCCCCCATTTTTCAACCCCCGATTCTTGACCCTCCCACAACATGCTTTGCTAGGTATTTACCTTCTAGTTTCAACTCACATGTGAACGCGGAGCGTCACTCCTCTCCTGTTGACAAGCCCATGTTCAATCAAGCGGCCCATTCCAGTTCATCAGCTTGCATTTGGAGCCCTCGATCCTCCTTCAGATTGGCATGCTTCAATGTACGCACACTGCTACAAATCGGTCAACAGGCAGCACTTGCCCGAACATTGGAGACCCTCGCAATCGACATCTGCTGCTTATCAGAGACCCGCCTGCAAGACTCGAGCTCTGTGCTAACTCTGCGATCCCCTTCAGGTGACGCAAGCAGTATATTCTCATTGCGCCTATCCGGTGACGACGCAGCTTCGAGCACCGGCCAAGCTAGTGTTGGCATTGCCCTGAGTCCCCGGGCTGAAGCTGCTCTGGTTGATTGGATTCCAATCAGTAGCCGGATGTGTGCGGTCCGATTGGCTGGCTCGTTTAAAGCTTCGAAGTCGCGCAGAACTAATAGATTTCTATTCATCATCGCCGCCTACGCGCCCACAAACTGTAGCGATGATTCGGTAAAGAACGACTTCTACCGCCAACTGACCCAGTTCCTTCGCCACAGAAGAAGCACAGACACTGTTGTGCTGGCGGGGGATCTGAACGCACAAGTTGGAAAGTTGTCCACTGATGAAATGCATCTGGGCGGTCAACACGGTGTAGGCTCCCGTAATGATAACGGTGAGCGGTTACTTCATTTGTGTGAAGATGCTCGCATATTTCTTCCGAGCACTAATTTCCGACACAGCACCCGCCGGAGGGTGACTTGGCGTCTACCAGCCTCGAACCAGCTATGGACGCAAATCGATCACATTGCGATAAGTTACCGCTGGAGAAGCTGCATCCAGAACTGTCGCTCGATTTGGAGCACATGTGTGGACATCGATCATGCACTTGTATGTGCTGACATGCGGATGCGCTTTGGCGGACGCCCACGACGACGCTGTGAGCGCATTGACACTAGCCAAATGACAAAGTCAGCTGTTCTGAATGCGTATCGAAGTACACTGACATACGAGTTGAGTAAGTGCTCACTGGAGACAATTGATGGTCACTGGTCACATGTTCGCCAGATCTTACTAGCAGCAGGCAAATCCTCATGTGGTATGTCTAATAGCCAACATGGATATTGGGTCTCTTCTCGGTCTCTGGAACTTATCGACACTCGCCGGAATCTCCCGGCTGGAAGTGAACACAAGGAAACTCGCAGAGAGCTCCGGGCAAAACTCCGTGCTAGCCTGAAGAGAGACCGCGAATCTTGGTGGTCTCATCGTGCGTCAGAGATGGAAGTGGCCGCTGCCCTTAGCAACCATCGTAAGTTATTCCGTCTGATACGGGAAACGGGCAACAGGAGACCTGGTGTTAGTGAAACAATTTGTGATGAGAGCGGACAGCTTATCCACAATTTGTCAAAACGTTTGGAGTGTTGGGCTGAGCATTTGGAAAAGCAATTTAATCGGCTAGAGTTGTTCGATTCTTCGCAGGCCAGTGATCGCCCTGCTCCGTGGGCTGTCCCTTTGGATCCACCCTCTCGCTCAGAAGTCGAACGTGAGATCGGACTGTTGAAATTGAACAAAGACGCGGGACCAGATGATCTTCATCCAGCCCTCTTCAAATTCGGAGGCTCTGATCTTGTTGATGTTTTACATGAATTACTAGTGAAACTGTGGGAGCAGGGGACTGTCCCAACCGACTGGAGCCGCTCTGTTATTGTTCTCATCTTCAAAGGAGGCTCGCGTTCGGAATGCGGCAACCATAGAGGAATCAGTCTGAACTCCATCGCCTCCAAATTACTCGCCTCCATAATACTTCACAGACTGACTGGTGCTCGTGAAAGGCAGATTCATGAGGAGCCAGCCGGGTTGAGTCGGGGTCGTGGCTGCATTGATCACATCTTCACCTTGCGTCAGTTGTTGGAGCGCCGTCACACATATTGGCGGCCCACCGTAGTCGTGTTCCTCGACATCAAAGGTGCCTTTG